ATTGATTCTTGGAATATATAATTTAGACTGACTAGAACTCTTTTCCAAAAAAAATAAAGTACTCGTCTACACTGTAAAAATAATAAATGAACTGAGCGGTAAGCGTTCTCATGACTTGTATTATTCAATACTATGAGGCTAATTGATTCTTGGAATCTTGGAATATATAATTTAGACTAACTAGAACTCTTTTCTAAAAAAGTAAGACACTCGTCTACACTGTAAAAGCAATGATCAAACAGGAAGTTTTTCAAAGCATTCTTGAATCTGTATAGTGCTGGTGTCTCCTTAATGTAATACGGTAAATGATTGAACATACGAAGTACAGTATTAATAAAATTGTCTTTGCATAAACTGGTATTACATGAAACAATATGTAGGTCATCTTTTCCCTTTGTATTATATGAATGTATTTCCGAATTGGTTGCAAGAGTATTCAAATTTGATTTTGTGTATACCAGAGTTTCATAAATATACAAGCATGGTAAGGGCAATATATTTAAATAATTAAAATACTGTTTACAACTAGTAGTTTTCTGAATTTGCATCATAGCTCTAATAGCTCTCTTTTGCAACTTAAAAATCACTTTAGCATTTGGTGAGTTGCCCCAGAATAGTATTCTATATGATAACAAGGAATGAAAGTAGGCATAATATACGAGTAGAGTACGAACAGACTTCAGCCCTGATACTCTTTTTACTACTCCTAGACCAGAGCATATTTTACATAACTTTTTTGCCAGTTCCTGGGTATGCATAGACCACCTTAAACTCTTATCTATCCAAACTCCCAGAAATTTTGAATGTTCTGAATATTTAACGGATGTATCATGAAACTTTATTGGAGGGCATTGAAAATGTAGATTTTGAGGCTGGTGAAAGGATATTGTTATTGTTTTCTCTTTATTAATGATTAATCTATTCCTTTCAAACCATTCAGAAAGTTTATTTACTGTTTCCTCTACTTTACTCTGGACACTGTCTATACTATTTCCCATTATAAAAATAGTAGTGTCATCAGCAAAAAAGTGTTGGCTTTCCATGCTCTATGCTAGATTCTAGGTCATTAATATATATAAAAAATAACATTGGTCCAAGAACAGAACCCTGTGGAACACCATATCTTATTGGTTTCTTTTGCGATACACAATTAGTAATTTCATTAGGTTCTTTATGCCTATAGGTAATTTCCACTGTTTGTTCCCTGTTTTCTAAATATGATTGAAACCAATTTTGTGCAACCCCTCGTATTCCTATTTCTGCCATTTTTCCAAGCAAGATGTCATGATCTACTAAGTCACATGCTTTTGACATATCCAAGAATAACCCTATACTTATTTCCCTCTCGTCCACAGATTTATAAACCCTTTTAAGAAACTCTGCAATTGCAGTATTCGTTGATTTCCCTTTACAGAAGCCATGCTGTTTATCACTAATTATACTATGGTTTTTTAGAAATGATAAGAGTCTTGTCTGCATGATTTTTTCAATTATTTTTGAGAAAACAGAGATCAGCGAAATTGGTCTATAATTCCCAACTTCTGTATCAAGTCCTTTTTTGTACAATGGTTTCACTTTTGCAATTTTTAACTGGTCTGGAAAATATCCAGTTGAGAATGACAAGCTTATTATGTATGTCAAAGTATGTGTTATCTTAGGATAACATTTCTTAATAATATAATCTGAGATTTCATCTACACCAGTTGATTATTTGTTTTTGTTTATTATGCCTGCCACTTCTGCTTCTATAGTTGGATTTAAATACATACTACCACTGTTATATTTTTTTGCATTGACACTGACTTCAATATTTTTTTGTAGTGGATTTCTATTCAAGATATCGTGAGCAATGCTGGTATAATAGTCATTAAAGACATTAGCTATGACTTTTGGATCCTGTGTATTTGTCCCATTTACATTTATTTCAATATTCCTAGTTTCTTTTTTATGTTTGCCTAACTCCTGTTTAATTAGGTCCCACATAGCTTTAGATTTGTTTCCTGCTGTATTTATCCGTATGTTATTAGATAATTTCTTGGCCTCGCTAATTACTCTGTTGTAAATTTTCTTATACCGATAATAATATTTTTTAAACTCTTCTGATATGTTTCTTTCTTCCATTAATCTATTAAGAAACCTGAGCCTGGTGCTTGATACCCTTATACCTGAGGTAACCCATTTATTTCCTAGTTGATTAGTTCTTACCCGCTTTTTAGGCATAGCTATGTTATAATAATACTGGAAAGTACCTAAAAATTCATTATATGCATCATTAACTGAAGTTTGCCTAAAAACAAGTTCCCAAGACTCCTCCTCCAATAGGTAGTTTAGGTATTGAACATTCTCTTCAGTACAAAGTCTAACTGTCCTGAATTCTTCTTTAACTGCAGCTTTCCTCTTTTTATTTATATGCTGCATCTGTACTTGTAATATTTGTGCAAAATGATCAGAGAATCCTGTTGCAATTACCTTAAAGTTGTAATCCCATAAGTATTTATTTAATATTATTTGATCTATCGCTGTTTGACTTCTAAGTCCTATTCTTGTTGGGACATCAACTATTGCTTGTAGACCGTATGAATTTAACATTGTCTGTAATTGAGGATTTACATTGCTACCCAAGAAATCTATGTTGAAATCACCTACAATAATAATGCTCTTCCTTTTGCTTATTATATTATTTATTATAGTATCCAGGATTTCAATAAATGTGTTAATATTACTATTAGGAGTTCTGTAGATACAAATAATAATTGTATTAAACTTGGTAAGTTCAACCATACTGGCCTCGAAGTGTTCTTCTTGGATCATGCTTTCAAACAGATTATAGGGCTTTGCTTCTAGATTTGATTTAATATAAATACACGAACCTCCATGCCGTTTGTTTTTCCTACAAAATTTTGAAACAAGGGAATAGTTTTTAAAATTATAATAATCAATTTGATCTTCTCTCAACCAATGTTCTGTAATGCATAAGACATCCAAATTTAATGCTTTATCAGTTAGTAGGACTTCTAAACTTAGCTTTTTGTTGTTTAAACTTTGTACATTTTGATGAAATATTTTAATATTGGTACTTATTTTATTAATATGTTTGAGGGTACTAGCACTATATTGATCTATAAAAAATCTTTACTTAACTTTACTGGGGGCCTCCTCCTTCTAGTTGTTCTACTTGTTCCCTGCTGGATGTTATGATCAGAAATAAAAATTTTTACCATTCAACTACAAGGGTTATAGAAATGGGTTTCTCTGATCATTTTGCATTGGCTATGAGTATACTTGTTCACAGCCCTTCTACCTGTTCAAAATATGTAGTAAAAAGGATTTTTTCAAGAAGAAATGTTGCAAATCTTAAGGATCAACTAAAAATCGAATTATGGGATGAGGTCTATCTTCAATCTGATGTAAATAGTGCCTATTGTGTCTACCTATTCCGTATTCTGTATTGAGGGGGTGGGTTTCCCCATGCACTTAGACCGGTTAGTGGTCCATTGTGCGTCCCCCTTTAATTTCTACTGTCTCCATACCCTACCGGTACTGGTGCTTACTATCAGCCCCTTTCTGCCAGCAAGGTTCCAACCTCCTCTGGCAGTGGTATCTAATAGTTAGTCCCTTTCTGTCAGAGAGGTCCCCCCTCCTCTGGTAGTGGTACCTAATACTTCCCCCATCTACCGGAGGAATTGGAAACTACTTGGGCGGGAAATGTTGCCTAATTTTGCTCAGAGGTCTCCTAGAGACATGAGGTTCTCTTACGTGTCGTAAATCTACGACACGGGACCCACGGCTTAAAGTCCCTCCCGAAGGACTTGTTCCCTGAATTTTTCCGCCCTTAAAAATTCCATGACCTCCACCGGGTTTTTGAACTTGTGTCTGCTTAAGTAAGTTTCATGAGTATTTTTTGCACTTCTTCCCCATAAAAAGTTTTTAACAAGAAAGGGAAAAAATCAAGTTGGATCACACAAGGGATAAAGGTGTCTAGACAGAGGCTGCAACTTTTACGTTTGTTAAAAAGAAAGATGTCCCTGTCAGTTCACAATTTGAAGTATATAAAGAAATATCAGAGAATTTATAATAAAGAAATTTCTGTTGTCCGTCAAAGAGAAAATGACCGAATTATTAAAAGGTCAGTCAAAAATTCAAAAACTCTATGGCAAATAATAAAAAAGGCGTCAGGAAATAATTTTACAGAAATAGAAAATATTTCTTTAGAAACAGACTCATAAGTTAGTTACAAACCCATAGGATGTATCCCAAAAATTTAATGAATTTTTTATAAATAGCATAGACAAGCTGATACATTTAAATAAAAATTGTAAAATTGACCATGCCACTACAAATGATGCAATACAAAATCCAAATGTATTATTTCTTGCCCCTGTTACTGAAGAAGA